ACTTAAACAAGGACTCTTTTGATCTGGAAGATCTTGTTTTAAATTGTATTAAATATGCAACAAAAACGGTCATGAATCCATTGATATTAATATAATATGGGGTAATTAACTCAGATGCCTTCAGGGTACAGGGAGTGGTGGGATTGCGAGAAATTGCTGCAGGTAGGATGGTGGGGACGGGAACCAGAAAGTGCAAATCCTACCTAGAAACATCCAGATTTGATTTGAAAATAAAATGCAACACCAGTGAAAACATCTGCAAGCCAGGAGCCAGAGGGCTTCTAGTCTGTAAAGATTGTAGGAATCTATCACATGGGAGAGGCTGCTTCTTGCCTTGGTTACTGCGGATTTGGAGTGACCCAAATCCACAGAGAAGGATACCTCTACAGACTGCACACATGCATCTCAGTAATGGCTCTGGCCTTAGAGGCACAGCCATGCAGCCAGTTATGAGACCTCAATGAAATACAGTCGGTATCTGAAGGGAACAGCAGAGAGCTTCTCTCAAAGGCGCGAGAACTAACCGAGTAGCATGCAGGGTGTTAACTAAAGGTCAGTTGGGCTCTGGGACAAATTAGGTCTCATTCCTGTGCCTCCATTAACTGGGGCCCCAGTGAGATTTGTGAACCCTGCATAGCCTCAGCTTCCTCACTGGAAAGCAGCCATAGCATCAGAAGCTCCCTCGTGGACTTGCCGAGAGGGTTCAGCTGGGCGATGAAGCTGGTGGTCAGTGCTCAACAAAAGGAAGCCTCTGCGACTGAGGTTCTTCCCTCTGTGCTTCCAGGGAACCTGAGAGGCCAGCGGAAAGTGCAGGTGGTGGGAAGGCGTGGAGCGGATACCCAGGGGTTCACTGGATACCCGAGATACCCAGAGGTTCACACCAAAGGCTGTCCACCATTCTCTAGATGGCTCAAACCCTCTTCTCAGCTGCCTGGGTTTTCTTTCTCAGGGCTGCCCAACCCCTTCGCCTCTCTGCTGTGTCACTCATTGTTGGTTTCCTGGCTTTTGTCCCCACCCACATTAGCCACAACCAGCAAGTGGCTAGCATGGTATTTGCTGGATGAATCCATGAGCCAAATACCGTCTTCCTGGGGACCCTTTCTCTCTGCAGCTGCCCAAGATGTGCCATTTCTCCCTGTCTTGTGAGGCGCTCTCAGCCTGGGTGCTGTGTCCTTCCTGGCTCTCCCTGGTGTTCTGAACCTCAGGCTGCAGACAGCTTCAGGCTTACACTACCGGTGCCTCCACCTACCGCTCAGTGCCTGACAGTCACCTCCCATAACTTCTCAAGTGAAGTGGCTTAAACAAGTCACATGCATCTGTCCTCACCTCCACCCAGCCCTTCATTCTGTCTCTGGGAGACATACACTGCCCACCCTGTCCTCACTCCTCAAGGCCATCTGGTCACCCTCTCTGAGCTTTCCAGGCTGCCTGAACTGGGACCTCTGCACATGGCCATTGTGCCTCAAACTCCCCCAGCCTACTAGTCTCATTGCTTCCCATCCCACCAGCACCCCATCTCATCTACGTCCCCTCTCAGCTGTCCATGGTCTGTGTCTCGCCAGGGAGCTGCACACATACTGTCCCTGCGAGACCTTTGCAATTACAGAAAATACACCACGCGACTTCACGGAGAGTCAAATTTACCTTAATTTGGGGGATATGCAATGCCACTAATTTTAAATAAAAAAAATATATATATATATATATATATACACACACACACACATATATATATATGTATATATATACACACACACACACACATACACATACACCTACCCACATGAGTATATATAGAATACACTGATTCAGACTATTTTTTAAAGTAAAAAAAGATTGAAGTAATGTCATGCTTATAGTTTCCAGTTTGGGCTGTGCACCCCAATTCTTAGAGTGGACATTTACTCTGCTGTGCTGGGGCAGGGGAGCTTCAGACATACAAGGTATGGCGTGCTTCTTCTTGAAAATTAACACCAAAAATCAAAAAAGTAATGTCCTACCTATGAGGGAACCCCCCCAACTCACCGTCACCTCTAAGGCTACCCTGCCTTGTGGCTCACTCTCCCGTGTGTGAGCCGCTTGGACATACTTCCTCTTTTCTGCCCCTAATGTCTGACAAATGCTAGTGATCCTTCGTCACCTTATAGCTCTAGGATTTGCCCATTTATTTTTCACTCCCCAAACTGCCCAAGTTCAGGCCCTCAGAATCTCACTGTATTAGTCTGTTTCCACACTGCTGATAAAGACATACCTCTGACTGGGCAAGTTACAAATTAAAGAGGTTTATTGGACTAGGGGCAGCTGCAGGGGTGGTTATCGGGAAGGGGAGGCTGCAGCTTGACTCCCAGGCTGGATGGTCCACACTCAGGCTCAGGGGGCCCCTGAGCTGCGGGAGCAAGCGGGAGCTGGTGGGGAGAAGGCATAGGTCTGCAGGCTGAGAGCCTTCAGTTCTCCTCTGATCCCACAATGTCAGAGCTGGGCCTGGGCTGTAGATCCTTTGGAAGCATCAGCATCCTCACAGGTCATACCATCAGCCCCTGGTGCTTCCCACCCGGCAGGTGAGAAGCACCAGCCCCTCTGGTCCTTGCGCCAGTCACACCTGAGGAGGCCCTGCAGGGCTTGGCCCCTCCCTATGAGGGCATCAGGAAAGTAGAACCTCTGAGCTGGGCCTTCCCTCTAGGGTCAATGCCAGGCTAACTCAGGACTCTCCCACAGTCTCAAGCGCTGGAGTAGGGAGTATGATATGCCATCGTTATTCCAGATGTGGCTTATCACAGCCTTTGCTGAGGGCTGGCAATAAAGTCACTCCCAGCACCTCCCCTCCTTAACCATGTCTCCCTTCAACCCATACTCCCATTGATTCCACAGGGAAGCAGCTGAGAAAGCTGGGCACTGCTCCTGACCGTGCAGGCCCCTATCAGCAGAGAACAGGCAGGATAGGGAATAAGGATGTAGGGACTCTTGCTAAGCACCGGGAGCCCTCTGCAGACAGTGCTGCTGTCACTCTGCACAGCTCCCACATGGCAGTGCTTTCCTGCCGCTTTACATGTAGGTAAGTGGAGGCCCAGGGAGTTGCCCAGACTTCTCTGGGACCTGCTGTTTGGGAGCAGTTGGAGTTTGAAAGCAGCTCTGTTTTGTTCCATATATCTGTTCTTCCTATTGCTTTAAGCATCTGCGTGACATCGTCCTTCTAAAATTCTACGTGTCCCAGGACACAGCAGCTCCTCTTTCTTTCTCCAGACCCTGCTGTGGGCCACACATTAGGCTGGGTGGCAATCTTAAGTGGGACAACAGTATGTTGTGTTTATAGGGTAAAGCACAGTAATGCAGAGATGGCACACAGCACTGGCATACATGCATATAACACATGAACATGCACACACATGCATACACATATGCACACACACATACATGCACACCCACACACACAGACATGCACACACACACTCACAAACCCGACTGCTTGATTGACAGAGTGGCCACTGGTTCTGAGGTCAGAGATGTTAGTATGTTTGTCCTAATCAATCAATTTGCAAAAATCCCAGGCTTTCTGACCAAATGTGGCAGTAAGACCAGGTCTCACCAAATTTTTACTGGATTCCACTTATTAAGATCCAGAATGGTTTCTACAAAGAGTCATGATTAAGATGTCAGCCTTCTCTGTCCATGTTCTGGTTCTTTCCAGCCACATAGAAGCCAGTGTGTTCCATTGCTGTGACCATGATTTTGGAGAATATTGAACACATTCCTGAGCCGCATCCCCATGGGTGAATGTATGGCACGCATTTGGGCCACCCCAATGGAACACAATTGCCGCCCTCAACTCCAGCCAAGGCAGGCTCCACCCACCCTGCCGCGCGGTTTGAAATTGCATTCCCAAAGCTATCACCCTCTTGTGGTTGTCAGGACATGTGGCGGCTGCCCTTGACTTCCACCTGGGATTTCTCAGAGGTCACCATTGTGAGGGGCCATCAGGGCTGCGGTTCCTCTCTCTAGCCGCGCTTCTCCCAAGCCCTGGGATTTGAGCCTTGTGTCCTCAGTCCCCTTTTTGTCCTGCCTTGGCAAAGTCCTCTTCTCACAGAGATCTTTTGATTTCAACAAAGTGGACGCTCAGATTCTTCTCTCTCCACTTTTCAGTTGCCAATTCCCAAGCCAGCTCTTACCTCATTTGAATAACAGTGTCCTTGGAACCTCTACTTACTCCCTCAGCACTTCCTTCCTCAGGCAGTGTCTCAACTGCAGGGTGGCACCCTCTGGCCTTCAACTTCTGTCCCAAGTCCACCCCTCTTCCTGGGAGGTGCACAAAAGCTGTACAAACTTCAAATAAGAAATTATTATATTTGGTAGGGATCTTATTGACAATCTAAACAACTCTTCCTTTTTTACTGGCAAAACTGGGTTCAGGAGAGATGAAATGATCAGTCCAACGCTGCAGGCATCTGGTCACTCAACTGGGAACAGGACAAAAGTGTCTCGGTACCCCACGCTCTCCTTCTCATGTCCTGTTTTTGGGTTCCAGTTGCATTTAGAGCACTCATTCCTGCCTTTTTATTTTCAAATCTTGCTGGCCTACATGTACATATTTCTGTCCTGCTTTGTTCCAAAAAACTTTTGATGCAGCTTGTGCAACTATAATACAATAAAATACCAGTATGTAGATGGATGTTTTAAGTCGATATTTGAGAAAATACAGATAATATGGTATGATAAAACCAGAGGGAGAGTTTGTTATAGGAATTTATTCCATAAGGTGTTACTTGCTTAGTGAAGTTGAATTGCATATTAAAGCATGGGCTTCCTGGCAACCAAAGCAAAAAGGGAAAGCCTACAATTGAAGATTCACATTGTCCATAAAAGAAAAATCAATTACTCAGAAGTAAGCTTTTCCTGGTCACATTTTACCTTATTTCCGACTCTTTTTCTTTTGTCTGAGGACATACATGTCATGTCTATCATTCAACAAAAGGTGTGTTTATTTTCCTCCCATTCATTCCATCCAGGCTGCTGAACTATTCCCTGGCATTCTTCCAAACCAAGGCCAATCTCCGTGGAACAATGACTGGCAGCTCTTCTTTGGTAACATGGCCTCCTGAACTTTCCTTGCTATTCTCCCTCCTTGTTTCTGCCCAGGGTTGTGTTCCTTCCTCAGAGACTGGCCAAGGGTGAACTGAGGGATGGCAGCTGCCACGTGACATGTTTGCCATGGTGCATTTACATTTGCCTGGTGCCTGAGCAGCTGGACACGCAGGCAAGAAACTCCCATTGCTTGTGTTCATATGCCGCTCCCTGCTCCCTGGCAGCTGGAGAGGAAGACAAGGCAGGGAATCGGGGTCTCCTGTCATATCCACCTCCTGCCGCCATCACCATCTGCACACAAGGCTGCAGGGAAGCCCTGTCTCCCTGCCCGTCACCAGGAGCCAAGGAAAAACACTCCAGGTGTAAGTGGCAGCTCGGGGACCTCAAGGCAGGGTGCATCCTGTCCCCAGCAGAAACCAGCTGTTTCTTTACAGCTTTTATACAGCATCTATTTTCATTATCTTTCTATCTCTTTGCCTCTTTATTATCCATCCATCCATTCATCCATCCTTTGCATGTTTCAATAAAGTATTTGAAGTGACATGGAATTTCAGATAACACAAAAGGATAGAGTAAGGCAGTCAGGGCCAAGCCTGCTTGCCTGGCACCAGGGGCCTAGTGGGTAGGATGACAGAGCCTTTGTGGTAAATTGAGTGCCATTACCCTCTAATGATGAGAAGCTACTGTTCTTCCTCTAACGACTTCAACTTTGAACTTCTTTTTCTCTTGGGCATCTTGTGGATTGACAAGCCGTCTCTTAGGACTATCCGTGTTCCTATTAACATTCTCAGACAGCACATGCCAGATGATTGTCCAATAATAGTACAACATTTGTGTAATGCTTTACAACAGTAACTAATTGATTCTCAGGAGGAGAGGATTCCTACTGTGCTTAGGGATTTTGGTGTTCTGTTTTGTTTTCAGACTTCTGCCGAGGTCTCTCGGAAGAGCTGGAAGACTTCAAAGGTCAAATATCGCAGGCCACAGCTCTGCCTTTTTCTCAGACCTTCCCATAGCTTGATCAAGGATGGAGTGGGTGGCAGTAATGTTTGAGAAAGACAGGTGCAAGGGTGGAGAGAGAGACCTAGTACCAGGGAAAGAACACAGAGCTAGAGGTAGGCTTAGACGTGAATCCTTGCTCAGCAACTGGCTTGCTGGGCAATCACAGTTTGGCCCCTTTGCCTCTCTGGGCGTCTGTTTCACCAGCTCTGAAAGATGGCATTGAATTAAGTGAATCCCAGACGTTTCTCTAAGGTAAGCATTGGGAGTCTGTGCACTTCCTAACAAAGGCCTTTCCTGAAGGAACAGTGCATAGTGCCCAGCTTGCAAATCTCAGAATTCTGTCTCATTTCCTCTCTGCCTCACACTCCTTTATAGCTTGTTACAAAAGCTGAAAGGACAAAAATGAAGATAGTGAAACACGGTGCAAAGAGTGAATCAGTCACTACACCCCTCACTCCATACACAGTAAATTATCACCAGCTGTTGCCCAATTAAATGCAACAACCTGGCAGTGCACCAGCAGTTCACAGGAGAGTCCAGGGCACACTATGTGCCCAGCTGAGCCACTTGCATGAAAACCCAGAGGATTTCAACATAAAAAACACATTTTTCCATAAACCACATTTATGTTTTCACTAGAAGTGTTCCAACACAAAGACTTAGTGGACAGAAGTGGACTCTGTGAGCAAATTTTGCTCTGGGTTTTTGTGCACACTCTGCCTTTAGCTTCATGTAGAAGGGAGTCTGCAAGGAGAACTTCTCATTACAAGCGCAGGAAGATTATCTAAAACTCTTAGTGATGCCCTGTAAGATGAGCAGATAAATGCAGCGTCATGAGTAGGTGCACTCTTGCATTTAACTTAACTCATCATACATTTATTGTGCATCCTCCGGTGCCAGACATTTTTCCAAGTTTCAGAAGATGAAGATCAGTAAGACAGGGTTCCTGCTCTGAGGAAACTCAAAGTCCAGTGCAATTGACAGGTGTGAAAATTATAAGACAATGTTACAATGTTGTAAGGGTGGTATTAGGATCTTGTATCAAAAAAGCAAGCATTAAGATGCTCAAGGGAGTCAGAGGAAGCTTCTAGAAGGAGCTGTGTTAGAGCTAGGACAAAGGCATGGCTAGCTCCTAAATTTAATATACCTTATTATTTTCCTATAATGTAGGGCTTGTTTAAGAAATGGTTTTCTATCAGCATGGATGTGGTGAAAAGGGAACACTTTTACACTGCTGGTGGGAATGTAAACTAGTATAAATGCTATGAAAAACAGTGTGGAGATTCCTTAAAGAACTAAAAGTAGATCTACTGTTTGATCCAGCAATCCCATTACTGGGTATCTATCCAGAGAAAAAGAAGTCATTATACGAAAAAGCCACATGCATGTTTATAGCAACACAATTCACAATTGCAAAAATATGGAACCAGCCCAATTGCCCATCAATCAATGAGCGGATAAAGAAATTGTATGATATATATATATATATATATATATACACACACACACATATATATATACACACACACACACACATATACACACACATATACATATACATACATATATATCACAATATGTATATATGCATATATATGCATATAACAATTTCTTTGTGTGTGTGTGTATATATATGTATATATATATACATACATGCATATATATACGTACATATATAAAGAAATACATACATATACATACACACACCATGGAATACTACTCAACCATATATACACACACACACACATACACACATAGATGTAATACATATATACACATATACATGCATATATATGTGTATATACATACACATATACATATATCACAATATGTATATATGTATATGTATATATATCACAATTTATATGTTCATGTGTGTGTATATATTTGTGTATGTATATGTATATTTATTTGTATGTGTGTGTATGTGCATATGTGTGTATGTATATGTATGTGTGTGTGTGTGTGTCTATATCTCACACAATTTACTGTCAGTCTTGACTTGAAGAGAGCAGCCACATTGAGCTTTCCTGTGAAACTGATGCGCTATTCAATAGAACACTCCTTCTTGCTTTGGAAAACAGCCTCCGGGCCCTCCTGTGATGCTTCATTGGCTGGCATTCCACTCCTCCCTGTTAAAATCAAGTGGTCTTCCATAGCACATTCACTCCAGCAACCCCACTTATCTGAGACTTTTGATTTCTTTCTTCATGTCTGAGATGCTCTGGGATTTCTGCCTTACTTAGAATGGGCTGGTGCTTTCTCCTGCTTCCCAGTGCCTCCGTAGTGTGCTAGCATCCTCCCCCATGTCCCTGGCCTGCATGCTCAACCCTTGGTCACAGGAGAGCTTGCCCTTGTCCTCCTATGTCTCACCTTCACCTTGATGCCAGGCCTTCAGGCTCCACTCTCCCAGTTCCTGCTGATAGGTGTTGGTAAGGTCCTGTAGCTCTTTTTGGGGACAGTCCTTCTCCTTCCTGAGCAGGCCCAACATGTTCCCAGCCATGTTGTGCTGACACTTAAGTGTTGACCTGGTAGCTAGGACAGCTGGTGGGATAGGTCTTAAGCAGAAGTGAGGGCCAGGGAGGAAGTAGCTCTGTCTCTCGTTCTCTTGTGAGGCAGTGGTCACCGGGTCTTAGCAGGGAGGAGTGGGTTACTTCTGCTCACCCAGAGGTTTGGGCAGATGAAGGGTGCTGAAATTTTCAAAAGCATGGATGTCCATGCTCCAGCCCCAAATCTCAGCACCCAGCTCCCCAAAGAGGGATCTAACCCTGGTGTGGTAGTAGCTTTGCTCAAGTTGAGATTCTACTTCTGCTGGAGCTCTGCTTCACTGGCAATGAACTTCTGGACCTAAATCTCAAACTTTCTGCCCCAAAGTGTCAGTAACATTCAGCAATGGTCACTGGAGTCTCATGTTCTCAAAATTATCTTATCTCTTGAATTTCTCAAATGTGTGGGGTGTCACGCCCTGTGCGTGCCCTGCAGTGTGTCCCTTCCTAGTTCGTGACTGTGAAACTGACAAGCGGTGCAGCATGCTGTGCCTCTTCATGCTTCTGTCCCTGGCTCCCAGTGATGGGGTCTTCACTGCCTGTCAGCCAGAAGGCTGCCCAGTTCTGGAATTCTGTTTTAGAGTCAAATTCCTAAGACCAGGCCTGGCACCAGCTGTGCTAAGTCAGGCTCCTCAGGCAGCAGATTCAGATAGAAATCTGAGTCAGGAAGTGGATGGTGGTATGCCTCTGTGGAGGACTGAAATAAGGACAATTGAACAAATGAAAGAGTTTAACTGAAATGTAGTTAATGCAAAGGCCTCACAAATCCCAGAGGGAGCGCTGGACTCAGTGTTGTCCTGCCTGGAGGCCAGGAAGCCAGGCCTTTCCACTCCCTGCCCTGGCCCGTCACAGGATGGAGGCTGTCCCTGTGAAGGGGAAGGGTCTCTTGCAGAGGCAGCTGCGTGGCATTGCAGGCAATTGGGATAATTCCTGGAGAATAATTTAGCCCTGCGCTGTCAGTGTTGGTGGAGATCCTCTAGGGAGGAACCAGTTTGTGACTGGTTTCGTAGTTTGAGGAGCTTGGGTTGTTTGAGGCCAGGTTCAGAAGAGTTTTTATGGACTAATTTGTTTTTAAACTGGTAACGGCATTTGATCTGCATGGACCAGGAGGTTCCACATTCCAGAGATTCTGCTAGAGAGATGTACACCAAACAGGTTGAGACTTTAAATAAAAAAGAGTCTCTCTGTTCTCCCTCATATATTCACTATTCTTGTGAATGATCAGTACAAAAAAAGTGGGCATTGAATTTCCATTGAAGAGAAATGAAGCTCATATCCAAGAATATCATCCAAGAATATTGTTATGGGGAATTTGAAAAATCAGAGAAGCTTCCCAAAGAAATTCAGAGTCTTGAGGTCTGAAAAAGGTGGCCAAGGCAGTGGAAGATGGGCAAGTGTACCAAGCAGTTCTCCTGTATCTCACGGGCGGCGATTTCAGAAACATTGTTTCATGTTTGCTTACTTATAAATCAGTAAGATTGTAGAGGGTAGAAACGATTAATAACATGATGCTATGGACTGAATTGTGCCCTTCCTAATTTATATGCTGAAGCCCAAATCCCCAACGTGACAGTTTTGAGATGGTTCCTTATGAGATCATAATGGTGGGACTTGACCCCATTAGTGTCCTTATGAGAAGAGGAAGAAACAGAGATGCAGGTGCACAGACGAAAAGCCATGCGAGGACACAGTAAGATGGTGCCATATTCCAAGCCAGGGAGAGAAAACTCAGAGGAATCCAACCTTGTGGACGCCTTGATCTCAGCCTTCCAGCCTCCAGAACTGTGAGAAAGCAACATCTCTTGTTCACATCTCCAGTTCTTGGTACTTTGTTATGGAGCCCTGGCTGCCTAAGGCACTGGGCAGCTTGTGAGGCATTTCTGGCATGCCAGTGTGCCTCAGGACAGTGGTC